AGCCGGATTCCTCTAAGTGCGGAGAAATGGAGGATTCTAATGCTGAACAGAAGTAAGTATGTTGTTTGAGAAGGCAGTGAAAGCTTCGCTATTGAACCGCCCAGTCCATAGTGGTAAAAATCCTACCACTGGATTCACCCTACATTTTCCGGGTGATTGTGGTATAGTATGTGATTCCGTAGTACATAGAATGAGTATTACACTGTGAGATATACTAGACGTCACTTCCCATGAGGATACAACGACCGATAGTGAGTAAAGCATTATAGGTTTTTCTTCAGAACACTATATGGCGTGAAGTCTGGATTATTCGGAATCATCATCGAAACTTGCCTAAGATTTGCTCTGAAAAACTATCCCTCCATGTTTGTAAAATTCGGAGAGTATATTGAACTCTTGGAACGAATTCAGTAGAAACAACCCCGAAATACCTTCGTTTATGAACGAATCCTACTCAGCTATACTGGGAGGGTTAAACCTGAAACAAGTATATTACAAAATATTTAAATAGTAGTGGTGTAACAAGTTGCTCACAGTAGTTTGACTTCAACAGACCATTGATAAGTCGTTAAACAAGACTACGTCTAAGAGTGAATCACTGAAGCGCAGATGATGAAATAGAACACAAAAAAGATGTGCAAATGTTTTTTAGAAGAACCTGGGAACTGCGGGATCCACTACCAGAAATAATGGTGACTTTATCTGCTGGCTTCTTTAGAAGAGGTTTTTTATTTACTTCCGTTCCAGTGGTAGTGAGGGGAACTACTCTAGATGCTCTTGCCCAATCAATACTTCTTACTATTCGTCAGTGTCTTGTAATTCCAAATTTTCAGTGAATTAAAAGATAATGAAAGCGTTCCATTACCATGAACTAGTTCCGAAGACACAAATCCAGATTTTATGGAAGTCTAAAGTCATCACGATGTCTTTTAGAATGTCCTAGTGGGGTTTTCCAGAGTTCAGTACTAGGACCTCTTCTTTTAGTTTGTGCTAATGACCTTCCTCATTGGGTATCACCTGATTTTTCACTTTTCTCTGACAGTGCGAAACATTGGAAAGTAGTTTGCAACGAAGATGATAAGCTGGCACTTGAGTAAGATCTAAGTCGAATCAAAATATAGGAGGAAAATGACGGACATACTTCCAATACTCTCAGGTGTATAGTAGTCCATCTGAGAAATCCTCTAGTTGTGATTAAGTCCCTTTTAGAGGTGTCAAAAGTTGAGAAGTATGTGTGAGTGTTGGCATCCTATGATCTGAAACCTTACTCTCACTGGGAAAAAAACGCCAAACTTTCACTAGTAATGTCGAAGCGTATTTTTGGCCAGTTTGACAGTAGAACTTTCCACTTTATCATTAGCAGTTACATTCAACTCCACTTAAGATGAAGAAACACTATATTCACTTGTAGCGACCTAATTTTATTAAGAGAACACGATTGGTGAAATGGAAACAATTATTATTACAACCCACTGTACAACGGTTTGTTTTACCGTACTTGTTTGTTTAACTGTACCAGAACACATGCATTCTTCCTTCCCTTGATTGTGACGTTGCACGAATTCGGGTACGCTCAGTTACTACACTTGTACTCCTTTGGCACGATCTCGGTATTCTTTCGATACCACGAGATCGCCGTCAAATACATCTCGACTACAGCCATCAATCGCCTTCTGATATTTGGCTTACAGGGGATCTTATAGGTTAACTGGCACGTAGTCTTCCTGTAGTGGTGATCATAGTCAAACGCGACTCGACACCACACTACACGCTTCTTTACTCTAAACGGATAAAAACACTAGAAAGTATTCGAGGACTAAGATTCAAACCTAATGAAGGTGTCGTGGCTGAACATCCACCCCTTAAAATTTATGCGTCTCAAACGTGACCTTCTACTGATTTTCAGCATTGTAAACACTCCTGGGTACTCTATTAAATACTTACTTAGGACCAGTCCCAGCACACCCTAAGGACAACACAGAAAAATTATAGTTGCGACATGGCAGAATGGACTGTCGACATACCTGTTACTCTTTGCGAGTAGTCAAATTGTGGATTTCGCTGCCTGCTGAGGCAGTCCAAACGAATTCCCAAGAGCCTTTCAAGAGGAAGCTGGACATATTCATAAGGACTCAGGACAGTATTTCCCTATAATTCATAAATATTCCTCGTTTGTCTGCTAAATACTCCTAGGGTTCATACCTAGAGGTATCGATGAGGCAGTAATCAGATACAGAAGCCTGTTGAGCGTGTATTGACTCACTCTTATCACGAGAACACGATTGGTTTGATGAAAACAATTATTATTATAACCAATTGTACCTGTGCTTTTTTAATGTGCTCTTTGTTTAACCGTGCTAATGGCAGCTATATTATGCTTCCATTATTAGTCTCACATTTTGGTTGTGACCTCGCGCGAATTCGGTTACGTTCTGTAACCAAGCTTGTATCCTGGCACGCGTTCCTTTGTAGTGGTGTTCATAGTCAATTTTGACTCGACGCCACGCTACAAGCGAAAGCTTCCATTTCGTCCACATTCATTTGGACGTTTGAACGATCAGGGTTACACCCCTCTCAAATGTATGGAAAGCTAACATATCGGCCATTCAGGAATGCGCTGCTAAGACAGATTGGTTTGTAGATACTAGCTTATCAGTCGAAGAAGAATGGTCTGTATTTAAAGGTAAGTTTAGTTTAGTTACGTCTTCGTTCATACCATACCTGGTACCGCGAAGACCTAATACCAGTCCACCTTGGATAACTAAAACAGTCAGAAAACTTCTTAGAGAAAAAAAGAAGCACTGGAATATGTTCATCTCTACTGTCTTAGAACAATACAGATCCAGTTATTGTAAAATTAGGAGTGCCTGAAAAGCTTTAATAAGTAAGACTAGACAATCATATGAAAAACAATTGGATAGGGATTCTAGACATAGCCCGAAACGGTTATTCTCATGTATAAAAAGGCAAACTCAGAGAAGCGATAAAGTTCCGCCTCTCTTGATACGAGAAAATCCGTTAATCTTGGCAGAAAATGATACCGAAAAAGCTGAAGCTTTATCGGAATATTTCACTGAAGTATTTTCCATCGGTAATGAAAAACGGCCAAAGATTCATTGTGATTGTGGCTGCTTGTTGAGGGACCCTGTAGTCATTGAGGAAGGTACTGTTTTAAGGCTACTTCAGCATCTCAAACCTGATAAGTCGAGTGGTGCTGATGATATTCATCCTAGGATTATGCAGGCCATATCAGACGTAATTGCTGAACCATTAGCGACACTATTTGACATGTCTCTGAGACAGTCCAGACTGCCTAGAGACTGGAAAGATGCAATAATAAGTCCGGTGTATAAGGCTGACAGTAGGGATTTAGTTAGTAACTATAGAACCGTTAGCTTAACTAGTGCAGTTGCAAAACTGATGGAAAAAAATCATTCGGATATCTGTTATAAACTATGTTGAAGGGTATAATCTTTTCTCCAGGGCACAACATGGTTTTCGCAGAGGCCTATCATGCTTGACAAATCTTCCGATTGCAAGAGAAGATTGGGATGCTGCAAAAGATCAGATTCTTCATAGATCTAAGTAAGGCCTTCCATAAAGTCTCCCACTCTGGTCTTAAACTCAAACTGGAACGTTTCGGAATCCATTATACAGTTGTAGATTGGATAAGTAACTTTCTCCATGACAGGCGACAAAGGGTAAGGGTAACTGAGGTTCTCTCGTCGTGGGTACTTGTAAAAAGTGGAGTTCCCCCATTTACGATCCTCGGTCCTCTTCTCTTTTTATCTTATGTAAATGAATTACCAACTATAGCAAAATCATCCGTCCTACTCTTCACTGATGACAAAAAATTTGGAGACCCATACACAGTATGTCAGATAGGATAGTGTTACAGAATGATCTTAGCTCATTGGTTGCATGAATGGACAGGTGGTCACTAGAAGTAAATACTAATAAGAGTGTAGTGATGCAACTAAATGACTCTGCTGAATCGTATCACTATGCAATACGTGGATTCGTGCTACCAAAAGTAAGAAACTATAAAGATTTAGGAGTCATATAAATCAGTGATCTCAAAACCAATAGTCACTGTAAGGCTGCTGCTGCGAAAGGCTATAGGGTATCATGGTTTATTCGTAGGTCTTCCCAGTATTTAGATGATGAAATGTTTAGATTATTATACCCGATTTATGTGCGACCACATTTAGAACATGGGATTCAAGCAGCGAGTTCTTGTTTCAAGTATCAAGCAGAGATACCAAAAAGAGTCCAACGGCGAGGTACTAAGATGGTACAAGGTCTATCTTATGAAGACAGATTGAGACACCTCAACATATTTCCGTTATCTTACCATAGAGTACGGGGTGATCTAATATTGGCTTATCGTATACTGAACGATGACCTTGGTATTAACATGTTTTATATCTTACTTCCCTCTAGGACTGATCATTTGAGGGGACATTCGAAGAAAGTTCAAAAACCGAGATCAAATCTTTTAGGTCTGAAGTTTCGTTTCTCGCATCGAGTAGTGAGTTCTGGAATTTTCTAACAGAACACGTAATACCAGCACCTTCTGTCAATATATTCAAAAAGAGATTGGACCTCCACAGTATTACAAACTGTAAGGATTAATATAGGTCGATAGACCTCCTATCCTTATTACTGAAGATTGAGGACTGAACGGACCGGCAAGTATAAAAGGTTTAGTTACAGTGTTCGCTATTTGATTAAAGTGTTAGTATTGACCTAAGTTTCTGTCCTTTTCTTTAATAAAATACCTAATTTCTTTGTATAAACTAGTATCTAAGATGGGCATGTCTTGTATATTTGGTGAACCATGTTTCAATATTGGAACACACATCACATTCACATATGCAACAGTGGCTGTCAAGGTCTGGATGTATGAAAGTATTCTAGGTGTGAGTGAACTCTCTATACCCTCGATCATGCCATGAAGTTTTACAACTCTTTATTCCACTGACATATGATAAAGTCAACCGCTATCTTTGACCAAAAGCACGTATTATTAACGTCTCGGGGAAGAAAGATGTATCTATACCCATAATTTTTCTCCGATTTCAATTGATTCCATCGAAATTAGTATCATAAGTAGTTTTCAGTTAAATAAAACAGGAATTATTGGTTCACTGAAGTGTTTTGTGTCCAGTTAGTTCATTTCTAAAGTGTGAACTCTTCACTGAACCAATCGTTATTGTTTTATGCATCAATGGATATTCTATGCTTATTCAGATAAATTAATGTGGAATTCCCTATAATGCCAATGTAACCGAACTTTGTCAGCAATCGTCAAACTACTTTTGTTTAATTTCATCTCGAGAATATTTTAACGGCGAACGTAAGCTACACTTATTATCAAGCTGATAGTAATGTGCACTCATTGAACTTAGTTTTTCAAGTCTAGTCTAATGGTTGAAGTATTTCTCTCCATATCAGTTTCATTCAAAAATAGAAAGTTTCACATTATCAATTTGTTGTTGATCGATGAAAGTATTTTGTGTGAAATTTCTGTGTTATTATTTGAGGTGTCTTATGGTACTATCGAAGTACGAATGATATGGTGGCTTTTCTTTCACTGGTTGGAATTTACATTAACTTGATGGATTGCATCGCTTACAGACTACAGTACCTCAACTTTATTACTCCACACTCGTAAAAGGCTTGTGAGGTGAAAATCACAGGAGAGTGTAGAACTCATACGACGGACTACAATGCAAAGTCGTGCATGGAGGACATCTGACAGAGGCATACAAAGTAAGTATTGGAGTCAGACAAGACTGCCTACTCCCCTCTTCCTCTTTCTTCTGGTGGTCAACTGGATTATGAAGACCTCGGCATCTGAGTAGGAGCACGGAATACAATAAAAAGCTCAGAATCAATTAGACGATTTGGGCGTCACAAATGACATGTCCCTTCTATCCTATACACACCAACGAACGCAGGTCAAGCCAACCAGTGTAGCATAAGCCTCTGCATCAGTAGGTCTCGGTATACACAAAGGAAAAAGAGAGATCCTTAAACACAACACAGACAACACCAGCGAAACAAATCACATTTGATGGAGAGACTCTGGAAGACGTGGAATCTTTCACTAACGTGGGAAGTATCATCGATGAGCAAGGAGGATCAGATGCAGACGCAAAGGCGAGGATTACCAGAGCAAGGGCCGCATTCCTATAATTGAAGAACATATGGAACTCAAAACAACCTATTGATGGAAATAACATTCTCGTCTACTGAATTCTCGGGTATTGACCTCCTTCCAGGAGGTCCACTTATCGACTTAGAATACGCAGATAACATAGTCCTGTTTGGTGAAGATGCTGATAAAATGCAGTCTTTTGGTAGCACTAAGCAACAATGCCAAAATGTTTGGAATGCGTTTCTCTCCCTCTAAATGCAAGTTGTTGCTTCAGGACTGGTCTGCGTCAACACCTGAACTAAGGATAGGGAGTGAAGTAGTCGAACACGTTGACAACTTCACTTATCTTGGAAGTCTGATCAGCCCTAATGGGTTGGTGTCTGACGAAATCTCAGCATGGATTCGAAAAGCTCGCTTGGCGTTTGCCAACTTACGTCACCTATGACGAAGGCGAGATATCTGTCTATCAATAAAAGGACGAGTATACTGCGCGGCAGTCCATTCTGTCTTACTTTACGGCGGCGAAACATAGCCTTTAAGAGTAGAAGACACTTTTAAGCTACTAGTATTTGACCACAGATGCCTTAGAAATATTGCTGGTGTCTGCTGGGATCACCGGGTAAGTAATAGTGAGGTTAGACGCAGGGTATTAGGGAATGATGGTAAATCAGTTGATGAGGTTGTGAATCTTCATCGACTGAGATGGTTGGGCCACGTGTTACGTATGCCTGAACACCGATTACCACGACGTGCAATGCTAACCGGTGTTGAGGATGGTTGGAGGAAAGTTAGGGGCGGCCAAACCAAAACGTGGCACCAGTGCTTGAAGTCATTAACTTCTAATGTGATCCATGTTGGTAGATGCAGACTACTTGGTTGGGGTCCGCGTGACTATCGTAACCAATGGTTGGAGACTCTTGGTGACATGGCTCAGAATCGATCACAATGGCGTCGGTGTATACACTCTTTGTCTCCCCTTAAACTAAGAGATTAAAATCACTTCATATCTTTCTTTCTACGAACTAATTCTTTCTTCCTGTACTATATCCTTATATGCAATCTTTCTTTTATATATTACCACCATCGAATTAACTACTATGAATCCGTTGTGCGTCTTGTTGTGTTAATCAGGTATGGCAACTTGGACCGATGCATATATGTGCCTGGTCCTACGTTGTAGCTGAATGACTGTCTGTCTACCAATATCAAAGTGAGAATCTTCAATACAAACGTCAAGACAGTTCTGCTGTATGGAGCTGAAACTTGGAAAACTACCACAACCATGATGAAGAAGGTGCAAGTATTTGTAAAAAGTTGTTTACGCAAGATACTGAATATCCGTTGACCGGATACTATCAGCAACAGTCTACTGTGGGAGAGGGCAAACCAGCTTCGAACTGAAGAGGAAATTAAGAAAAGACATTGGACGTGGATAGGACATTGAGGAAATCACCAAACCGCCTCACGAGGCAAGCCCTAACTTGAAATCCTGAAGTTAAGCGGAAAAGCGGAAGGCCGAAGAACACATTATGTCGGGAAATGGAAGCAGATATGAAAAGTATGAATAGTAACTGGAAAGGACTGCCCAGGACAGAGTTGGATGGAGAGTACTGGTTGGCGGCCTGATTATTTAATTGCATAGTCTTATCAAACTGGAGAAGACTTGTCATTTGAACGCAAAATCACGTTGATTGAATTAATACAATGAAACTACATTGGAAGTCAAATAAACTAACTATACACTCAGTCAGTCAGTAACAACGTAGAACTTCGTACGTACGTACATCAGTTCGAGTTGCCACACCACCTTAACACAGAGATGCAGTTGTCGATTCAAATCCCGTAGTGGTAGAGGTAGCAAGAGTGTAAGCAGTGATCGGGAAGATTAGGGTTTGGAGATGTTATTTAAAGAGTATAATTCAGTGAAATAAATTTGGAAAGAGGAAAAAAGGGACATGAAGAATTCAGAAGATTAGAATTTGGGAGAACACAAAGAGTGGATGCACCTGCGCCATTGCAAACGATTTTGAGCCATGTCATTCAGGGTCTCTAACCATCGGTTGCTATCATCTCGCGGTCCCCAACCAGGTAGTCTACACCTATCAACATGACTCAGACCACTTGTCAGTGACTTCATGGACTTGTGCCATGTTTTGGTCTGGCCGCCCCTAGTTTTCTTCCAACCTACTCCTATACCACTGAACATCGCACGTCTAGGCAGTCGGTCGTTGGGCATACGTAACACGTGTCCCAGCCATCTCAACTGATGAAGTTTCACTACTTCATCAATTGATTTGCCATCCTTACCTAGTACTCGTTTCCTAACAACTGTGTTGCTTACTCGATGGTCCCATGATATACGAGCAATGTTTCGAAGACACCTATGATCGAATACTAGTAACCTACGAATATCCTCTACTCTTACCGGCCATGTTTCACTTCCATAAAGTAGGACGGGACGTACTGCTGCACAGTAAACCCGTCCTTTGGTTGATAGACGGATATCTCGCCTACGCCATAAATGACGCAAGTTCGCAAAAGCTAGTCGAGCCTTCTGTATCCGTGCTGAGATTTCGTCACATACCAGACCACAACGGCTGATGAGACTTCCAAGATAAGTGAAGCGGTCGACACACTCAACTACTTCACTCCCTATCACTAGTTCGGGTGTCCATGTAACCCAATCCTGAAGCAACATTTTGCATTTCGAGGGAGAGAATCGCATCCCGAACATGCTTGCATTGTTGCTTAGAGTGGTCAGAAGACTCTGCATTTTGTCAGCGTCTTCGCCAAATAAAACTATGTCATCAGCATATTCTAAGTCAACAAGTGAACCTCCCGGTAGAAGTTCAACCCCTGGAAATTTAGATGAGGAGAGTGTCATCTCTAAAAGTACGTCGACCACAAAGTTGAACAAGAATGGGGAGAGTGGACAGCCCTGACGAACACCACTTGAGGTAATCAATTCTGATGACAGTTCGCCATAAGCTCTCACTCTACCAGTTGTGTTCGAGTAGAGAGCCTGAATAAGGTTAATGTACTTCTTTGGTACTCCTTTCAGTGACTAACACTGCCATAGAACCCTACGATCAACAGAGTCGAATGCCGCCTTAAGGTCGAGAAATACTACCATTGTCGGGCGTCTAAACGTGTGTCTGTGTTCTAGAACCTGACGTAGTGTGAATATTTGGTCTATACAACCACGTCCAGGTCGAAAACCAGCCTGATTTTCTCTAGTCTGTTCTTCACGAGCTCTGGTTAGGCGTCGAAGTATTATTGAAGCTAATATTTTAGACACTATATTAGTCAAACTGATTCCTCTGTGATTGTCACAATAGGACTTTTGTCCTTTCTTAAAAACTGGCACAATCAGTGATTGAGACCAGTCAGATGGGATTAAGTCCAGTTCCCAAATTCTACCTAAGACGTCGGTTAATCTCATTGCTAATACTGGACCACCATCCTTAAAAATCTCAGGAGTAAACCTGTCAGGGCCTGCTGCTCTCCCTCGTTTCAGATTTCCTATGGCTTTTTCAACTTCGTTAAGAGACGGAGGACCTACATTAACTTGCCATTCAGGTTGACTGGGGATCGTGGGAAACCGAAGTGTGGCTGAAGGCCAGTTGAACTGATCCCTGAAGTGTTCTGCCCATCGATCCAATCTCCTGGATTGGGAATGTATAATATGTCCATCTTTCTCTGAGATTGTTTCGCTAACGGTCGGGTTCCTAATTCCGGTTTCCTTAACGAGTCTGAACAATTGTCTGCTATTACATATTGCCGCTGCCTTCTCCATCTCTCTTGCTTTCGCTACCCACCACTGTTCACGATCATTGCGTAGACTTCTTGTCAGCTTGCGCTTAAGCTGACTCCGCTCTTCATTATGTTCAGAGCCAGATGGAATGAGTTTCCGAGCATCTATCAGTGCGATAGATGCTGCTGAGATTCAGTGTTGCTCTCTAACCTTCTGGTTTACCTTACTAGCAGATATCACTGCTGTTTCCACAGCTTTTCGGATATCATTCCAAGCCGCATCGGGGTGGGCATCACATACATGGCTGCCTAACTGTTTTCCTAGTTGTTCCTGAAATATACTCTTAGCTTGACTATCATTAAGTAGGCCCCTAAGAGGTTTCCTTGCAGCGTCTTTCCTACGTCCAGTAAGACGCAAGCAAATACGCGCTCGCACTAGAGCATGATCTGAATCTAGGCATGTGCTCCAGAATGAGCGACAGTCTTCTATCGAGCCCCTCCATCGGTGGCTGATGGCGATGTGATCTATTTGGGTCCAACGTTGGGACGAATTAGGGGGTCGCCATGTTAAAAGATGTTTTTCCTTATGCTTAAAGTTAGTATTTGCAAGGAACAGGCGATTATCTGAGCATAGCTGCAACAGACGGTCGTCATTATCTGTTCTTTAAGCCACGACACCATAAGATCCACCCAGGTGTCTTTCCCTATCGCTTAGTTTACCTACTTGAGCATTAAAGTCACCGGCCATTATTACTACATCCGAGCGCCTAGCTTTTCGGAGAAGGTCGGAAAGCTTTCTGTAAAACTCATCTTTTACATCATCTGGGCTGCAGTCAGTGGGAGAATAGGCAGAAACGACGAAGAGGCAACGACGGGTGTCCCTATCTTTCCGGATTCTTACTGTTCCGTTCAGTCGGACAGCGCACAAACGGCTGTCTACTGGGATCCACTCTAAGAGAGCTAATTCTGCTCTGGGACTCAATGCTATACCTACGCCGGCGAGGCCACGGGAAGCAGAATCAGGGCTTCCAGATACACGAAGCGTAAATCGAGTCGGTTCTTTATTTTGGCATGGTGAAGTCAAATGAATGACGCTACTCGGATCCTGTATGCGCGTTTTGGAGACGCAGCACACATCGATGGCGCGAGATTCTAAAGTCCTAGCTAAGGAAGTCTGCTGTCCTATTTGGCACAGTGTTCGGACGTTAAAAGCTCCTACGTGTAGTTTAGAGCGTGGTTTCAGGAGACCAGGAATAGAGTTCCACGTACTCGAATCGTTTGCCCTAGCGGTGCGAGGTGATACAGAGACATGAGGAGGGTTAGTCATGGAGATAAGAGAGGCATTAAAAGGTGTAGGAAGGATTTGAATGTGACCAACTTGGTCTCGTGTGCTGTTACGGGTATGAGGGCTGGTGTCACTTCCCGGCTGCCCACACCGTGGAAGGGTATTTCTTGAGGAACCTGAAAAAGAAATTGGATTAGTGTTGGTCTTGACGACCTGGGAGCGTGACCGCAGAGCCCAAGGGACAACTGCTTGAGGCTGGTCGCGCACGGCCTTTTTGTGGAAGGTTTTTGACGTGTTAGCTCCGTTCTTCAAAGGGCCTTACCGCCGGAGACGGAAATCCGTGAGGTAAGGTGAGGTGTGACATTTTTAGGGTCGACCTTTTCTAACCCCACCCCTCCTTGTGGGAAGGCAGCATCGCTGTCATGCTGGTTGTCTGAGGGAAACACCTTACTGCTGTCACACCTCTCTACAGTCAGCAGTACGACTTCGCCCTCAGACCTTGAGTTGCTGATTTTAGTCTTACCGTTCACCAATCGACCTGCCTGGCATGGTAGAACCTACAGGAACATATGTTCCAGCCAATATAGCTCGTTTGGGTCATCACGATAGGCAAGCCCGACCACCGCGTCAAGGTAGCAGCTTCGGTCGGGAACTATACACTAAATGAATTAATACAATGAACGAGAATCACGTTAAGTCAGTACTAGAATCAATTTGTTTATATTTTATATTTAGAGATTTCATGTTTTCAACGGTGTAGTTATAATGCTAAGCAATGATATAACGTACTTCTGACGTAGAGGCTAAAAATATTCAGATACCATGATATCATAAATCTTAGTATTAATCAATAAATAGGAACTACAGACTTTTCAAACACTTACCTGTATTTTAGTACTAGTAATGTTCCAACAAATTCAAGCCGATTTTGAATGTATACTTTTTTGTATTTTTTTCAGCACTGTTTTCAACCTCTCTTTGAATATCATCAGTTTAAATTCTTATCGTAATTCGTTCAGTTCTCTTCACAAACTTCTGGTTTTTCAAATGAACCATCCAAATTGGTTTTACATACTATATTTAACTGTTATTCAATTTACCATCTATGCGGTTTGTGAAGAGTTATCTGTTAGTCCTATTGCTCAAGCGCTGCGTGTTGATGAGTCTGGAATTTTTGAATGTTCTTTCGAAAACTCATCCTATAATTCAAACTTAAAGTGGATATTGTTTGATGGAACAGTTTTATTAAATGGTAACACATCACAAGATGGTCGATTTATTAATGAAGATGGTATCCTAAAAATGACTAATCTTACTATACCTGATTCTGGTGAATATAACTGTGTAAATGTTGAAGTCAATACCACTGTTACTGCTCATCTTAAAGTGTATATTATGCCATCTTATTTATTGGAAGGATCCATTGTTCTTGCTATCAATGGTGTTCTCTTCATTTTATTCATTTATTCAATGATAAAAACATATCGAGAACAAAATATTAAAGATCGTATGCATGCTTTCTAATGGTTTATTGTTTACTTGATGAGAAAGATTTCTCTCTCTGATCTTGTTTTTTTTTTTTTACATCAACTGCCGTTCCTTATCGATTATTGTTTTGTTTTTTTGCGTGAATTTTCTAAATAATATAATTACATATGTTATACTATGCTTTATAATCTAAACATGCAGTTCAATCTATTCACTTGTATCTGATATTCATCTCTTAGCTATGTTATAAACTGTCTTTACAAGAAAATAAAAAAATTCATGGATTTTTTTTGCAGTTATGAAACACATGGTTTTGTTTTTCGCAATCTGAAATCACCCTATTTTTTCTAAAACTCTTAACAAAGCAAATCTGTGAATATGTTGTTGTTAGTGATGATTTTTTGGATAGTTTTAAAATTCATACTAACTTTATACCTAATATCTAAAAATTCTGTTTTGAATTAAGCAACAAGTTTGATTTTGTTTCATCTTGTCTTATTTTTATTTGACATAAACAAGATTTAATAAATTAATTTAACATTGATGATCTTTTCTACTTGATAACATTATCCCAGAACACGAGGAATAACTACTGGATGTCAGCCACATAGAGCATTACTGTAAGTTGTTTTTGGCATTTGCTCTGTACTTTCTAAGCTTTATGTCTAGTGTCTAAAGCCTGTGGAACAAGTGGAGGGTGAGCTAGTTTCTAGGACATATGTTTTATATCCCTTCCGTCTATCGGACACTGGTTATCTGTAATAAATGCTTTATTGCCGCTACATCCTACTACATTTCTACAAACTCTAAACTTATTGATTTCTATCTAGTCTTATCACTCTTCAAATGAGCTTAGTGACATCGTCAGATTAAAAAACGTTTTCCTAGCATTATTACTTAGCGAGGTCGTAGATACGGTAGGACAATGAGATTCATAGTATACCAAATAAAAAGTGTGCATCTTTGAGTACTGGAATATGATATGCCATATGACTTAACCCCTAAATGCTATGGTATGACCGAGAGTGGGGTGGGCCCGCCCTCCCTCTCGAAATGCTCTCACACGGCCACGCGTATACAGCCTCTGCCAGGGAAGTCCTACTCACTGTCTTCTCGTGACGGGGATGTTGTTTACGAAATTGAGAGGACGAAAAGCGAATGTCCGGAGCTTTAACCGGATCCAAAACCGATGATGCACATGGGCTCCAGTATCCTGAGGGAAAAATGGCGTATGGACCAATCTTGGTTACCGGCTACCATGGGACTGCATCTCACGATGCTTCACTGCCTTGTGGGTTAGACTTTTAGGTCAAAGGCTCGGGGTGTTGACTCCCTAAGAAAACCACCTGCTCCGGTTTTGGCACCCGGACAGTATCACAGCCCACACACAAATATAATGAAAATGATGGTATTTACTGAAAACTCTATTCTCGCTTCGATTTGCATTCAAACAATCCACATTATTATTATTATCGTTATTATTTACTACGTCATTTATTCATTCTTTTATTCCCACTTTGTGTATCCTTATTTTTCGACTTATACAGCAGCTCGCATATGGTGGAAACTCGGTTCTATCTAAACGTTCTCGAGTCACTGACTGGTTGAAAATTGAGTGCTACCACCAAATACGAATACTGAAGCAGTTTTTCTGAAACCACGTGCACCATTCAAACTGGCTGCCTTCAACGTTCGCACACTTATGCAGGTCGGACAACAGATGGGGCTGGCTATGTCTTTGGAAAGTCTTAATATCGACGTTTGTTGTCTATCCGAGACCCGTATTCATGACTTTTATTACTTATTTTAACACATAGATATTGGTACAAGGAGGCACCAGATACATATGCACCACACAGATCTCATTTGATATGTGTGAGGGCCGTGGTATTGCCCAGGTGCCTAAACCGAAGCATTCTACCTGAAGGTCTGATCCACAATGCAGTCCCATGGTAGCCGGTGACCGACAATTGGTTCATACGCCATTTGTTCCTTCAGGATACTGGAGCCCATGTGGACCACTGGTTTGGAATCAGGGTTTTCCAACTCCCCTAGGAGGAATCTCCATGTCCACCAACCCGGTTAAAGCTCCGGACATTCCCTTTTCGTTCTCTCAATTCCGTAAACAACACACCTGATGCGAGAAGGCAGTGAGTAGGACTTCCCTGGCAGAGGCTATATACGCGTGGCCTTGTGAGAGCATTTGGAGAGGGAGGACGGACTCTCCCCACTCTCGGCCGTACTAGGGCATTTGGGGGCATTCAAGATTGGTGAAGTACTAAAAATCCTCTCTTCATCTGTCGCTTCAAAAAGCTTGTTTTACCTGCGTGGCATCATCTTTTTTTTAGCGTTGGTGTCGCATCAAGCGCTGGAGTTGAGGCAGCACTAATCGATTCGATCCCCATTAACAGTCGGTTATGCGCTGTTAGATTAGAAAGTTCCATCAAAGTGAGAAGAAGTCGGCGTGGGAAACGATGTCTCTTCTTCATCTCCGCCTATGCCCCGACAAATTGCAGCCCGGATGCAATCAAGGATGAGTTTTACTACCAGTTATCTGTTCTCCAGAAAGTGCGTTCGACAAATATTGTAGTACTAGTTGGAGACTTGAATGCTCAGGTCGGGCGTCTAGGCACAGAAGAGAGTCGTTTAAGTGGCCGATGGGGACTTGTTGGTCGCAGGACAGATAACGGGGACCGTCTACTGCAACTGTGCACAGACCACAACCTGTTTCTGGCTAGCACTAACTTTCAGCACAGTCATCGCCGATGTGCCACCTGGCGTCCTCCTTCTGCATCTCAAGCCTGAACTCAGATTGATCACTTCGCGATCAGCTAATGCTGGCGTGGTTGTGTACAAGACTGCCACTCCTTTTGGAGTACCTATCTGGCCTATGATCATGCCCTGATCTGCGCCAATCTTGCCTTACTTTTCAGTGGACAACGAAGTGACCGCCACCAAAGGATTGATGTCAGCAAGTTGGTTGCAACTTCTATTGCTAGTAAGTATCAAACCGAGCTAGGTTCAAGGCTAACTACCATTCCACCGAAAAGTATAGATGGGCATGTGTTGCAACTTCACGACGCCACCGAAATGGCGAGTAAAGCCGCCTGCAGTTCCGTGGAACGTCCCGCTTATAAGCACTGGGTTTCTTCTGATTCCTTAAAACTCATTGAAGCCCGTCGGTCTACTCCGGGTAACTGTAAGTTTGACCACAAATGACGACTGTTGTGTAATGAAATTGAGCAAAGCTTGCGTAAGGACCGAGAAACCTTGTGCTCAGAGCGTGCTAATGAGCTGGAAGCAGCAGCTGCATCTGGTAATTACCGGAAGCTCTTCCAACTAATCCGAGCCACTGGCAGCAAGAAGTCTGGTGTGAGCGAAACAATCTGAGAGGATGACGGGATGCCAATCACTAACATCCATCGACGTCTTGGACGATGGGCAGAATTCTTCGAAGGGCAGTTCAGCTTGCCTGCTGCTCCGGTAACATTGGTCAGACTGTCCTGCCCTCCATGGCCGGTGGTGACTGATTCACCAAAGGAGAAGGAAGTCCGCAAGGAACTCCAACTCTTGAAGCGTTACAAATCACCTGGCCTAGATGACTTACCTCAGGCTCTTTTTAAAGATGGTGACTTTCTGGACAAGGAACTGACTGTGTTGTTTACAAAGGTTTGGGAACTAGAGAGCGTACCAACATCATGGAATGAGTCGATAGTTGTCCCTATCTTTAAAAAGGGTTCACGTCATTTCTGTAACAACTATCGGGGGATATGTCTATTTTCGATTGCGTCCAAATTATTGGATTCCGTCATACACCGTAGATTGTTCGAAACCCGAGAAAGATTTACTCGTGAGGAGCAGGCTGGTTTTCGTTATGGCTGAGGATGTATTGATCATATCTCCACCCTCCGCCAAATGTTAGAACACCGTCATACTTATCACAGGCCAACATCAGGGCTGCCTTCGATTCGTTGGATAGGACTGTTCTTCAGGATTGTCTGTTGAAGAAGGATGTCATGCAATTGGTTCCCTTTATGAATTTAAATAAAGCAAGAACAAATATTGATGCAGAATAGTATGAATTCATATTATTTCGAGGTTTCTCGTCAGCTGCTTACAAACCAAAAAATGTGATAGAATTTTTACATGGAGATAGAGTGAAAACAATTGACATAAATGAGTGTAAATAACTGGGTTACAATAATAACTATATATATATATATGCTAGAAATAGGTCAGAGGTCAAAAGAAGGGGGTTAATCCAGGTTGGGTGGTGTAATAATGCAATTGAATAATCATAAGATAGGTTACGTAATAATAATTAAATAGAATATGAAAAGTTAAGATAATTTAGGAGGATCAGGTGGTGGAAATGCGTAAATAATAATGTGGTTTAAGAATTATGTAATAGGGGAGGAATATAAATATTTTAAAATAAATAAAAATAAAATAATAATAACAAAGGGTTACCAGGGTAGTGATAAGCTAATTAACGTCTCTTTTTGAATGCATAAGTCAGGTTTAAGTTTTTTGATCATAATAGCTTCAGCAAAACGGAGGCTGGTCGTATTTCTTTGTCTATTGATAACTTTGAATGCATGAGGAATGTCGATGGTGTGTCCGGTGTCAATTAGGTGTCGAGCTATTGCACTGTTGAAAGCCCTGGTCCCACGCAGCCTCAAGTTTTTTGGAACGTGCTCAGAAATGCGGACATGCACTCTTCTCTCAGTTCTTCCAATGTATGTGCTTTGGCACGTACATGTAAATTGGTAGATGCCTGAAAAGTTTATTAACATCCTAAAAGCCCTATATACAAACACTTCAGGCAGAGTGAGGGCATACAACCACCTCTCTCCATTGTTCCATTCGAGCAGTGGGGTTAGGTATGGTTGCCCAATCTCACCATTCCTCTTCAACTTTGCCATCGATGACATTCTGGAAACAGCTCTGATGGATGTAAGTAATAGTGATGTGGATCTGTTGCCCGGAGAAAGACTTCTCGACCTTGAGTATGCGGACGATATTGTCTTACTGTGCGATAATGCCCAAGGCATGCAATCCGCACTTAATCAGTTGGCAATCAGTGTCCGTAGGTATGGTATGTGCTTTGCACCTTCGAAATGCAAAGTACTTCTACAAGACTGACAGGATTCTAATCCTGTACTCCCCCTGGATGGTGAGCAGATAGAAGTAGTCGAGAAGTTCGTGTATCTAGTTATCTACATAATTGCTTATGGTGGCGTGGACGATGAGATCAATGAACGTATAGTGAAAGTCAGAGCGGCTTATGCCAATCTGGTCCATCTTTGGTGCCTTTGTGATGTCAGTTTGACTGTAAAAGGGCGGATCTACAACGCGTCAGTGAGAGCAGTTTTGCTCTATGCTTGTGGAATCTGGCCTCTCCGAGTTGAGGATGTTAGACGACTCTGTGTTTGATCATCGTTTGCTCCTAAGGACTGCTAACATGCAGTGGCAATACCGTGTTAGTAATGCAGAGGTTCGGGTGCAGAGACGATAATCCAACTGGTGTCACCATCTTGAAACATCGACTTCGGTGGCTTGGACATGTTCTATGAATGTCGTCCCAGAGAATTCCACGTCGTGCATTATTTGCCGACTCTGGGACTGGTTGGAAAAAGCGGAGAGGTGGTCAGTGTCGTGGTATGAAAGAAAGCTGCAAAGGGCTGGCTTCTGTTGGTCCTTCACGACTCCTTGGTTGGGGTCCGAGAGATGGTG